TATTCCGAGCATCGTCCATAGGGTCAATCCCGAGTTAATCCCATGGAAAAATAATGTTAAATTTTTTTTTTTTCATTTCTTATGCATTAAAACAATTAGTGTTAGGGGGCTCCAGCGTATCATGTTTTAAGGAGTAATATTTAGGCAATTCACATAACATGAACATTTGGGCTATGTCTATGTGTGAGTAGTAAATGAACATTAGTGTGGGTAATTCATTATCGCGAACCTAGGACTATCGGTTGACAGTTTTACGAATTCCCAGAACTACGTATAATTAAAATGCTATAAAAATGACAATATATTATGTTCAATTGAGCTCATTATTTTTTACTATTATATTACCTACTCACTATAAATACTATTAAACACTATTACCTACAAAATATTTACCACATTATTTTACCAATTTTAGAAATTATTATATCACTTTTTTTATTCTGTAAATTTTGCAATCAATGTTTTTTTATTTTAGGTGCACTTAACTTACGTCTAGCTTTTCTCCCATAACGCCAATCTTAACCCATTTTGTAAAAAAAAATTAAAAAGAACACAAAACTTACAGACAACCTTACTGATCGGCGTGTTGTGTTGAAATCAAATGATTCATAAACATAGGTAGTATTTTTATACTTTGTTTTTCCTTAAAATTTAAATATATGTTTGTTGTATTAAATTTGGAAAAATATAATTATTATTACTGACTATTATTATTGTCGCCCATTAGTAATGTTCTAAACCTATCCAATAATCCTTATCGGCTAATTGATTCTGACTTTCCGAGAATCTATCACGGCCCGTCGGCAGCCGCAAGCCGCCGCGCCGCCGAAATAAACTATCGCACGCACAGGCACATGTCAATACTTTACGAAAAATGAAATATATTCATGTTTGCAATGCTATAAAAACTACTAAAAGCGGTAGTAAATTAAGTAGGTATTAGTTAAGATTTAGTAAGGTGCATTTCAGTATACAAATCGAAATTCTACTAAATACTACTACACATTTATATAATTTTCTTAGATTAGTAATTAAATAATAATAATTATAATGTAAATTATATTATGTTACATCAAGTGAAATAAAATAATAAATTACCTACTTATTTAATATTTTAAAACTTACTGGTTTGATTTAGTTCATCAGCTATTCCTTTCCAAATGTTCTCCTTCCATGTACTGTCACTATATTTTGGATGACTCAAGTCATATAGTTCTTTATGGCTTCTTATTAATTCAATGAATTGTTCATTTTTCATGGTGAGATTTGTAAATTTAGTGAATAGTGTCTTAAAAAACGAGTAGATACTGACAACAGACTGTACTGACTGACGTATAAAAAATAATAAAAATTAAAAACTTCTCAATGATAGATTTCGAACATACACAAACATGCCCATTGACCACGGATTAATACGTGACATAGACTTCGGATGTCTGTTCACACGTCATCGTTCCTAGGGTTGCCAACTTTGAACTTTTAATTTGGAAAATACCAGCCCAATTGTACAAAAAAAAAAAAAAATGTCATAATTTTCCGAAAAAGGCATAATATTTACATACTAATCATACTACTTATAAAAATATCAAAGTTAACGATAGACGTCTGAAATCATTAAGATTATACGATTTATTGACAGCAATATCTGATAACTAATTTCACAAAATTCACAAAAACGATAAAATATTAATATATTTACATTGAAACTCTCGATCAGATGGAAATACTGGCTTTTTATAATTTTACAATCATTACTTTTGAAAATACCAGCTTTTTATAGGTTAATGCCGGCAACCAGCTTTTTAAGTCTATGGATGTGAAATACCGGCCGGTTGGCAACCCTAACCGTTCCGTATCCAAACTTGTCCGAGCTCTGACAGAAAATCGGTCAGCGAAAAATTTTTTTTGATCCGATAGAGCTCGGAAAACTCGGATTGGACCGTGTGTGAACTTATGTACAGGAATACAACAAGTTTATATTTCCGAGGACAATTCCTGACAGATCAGACTCGGATAGGACCCGGATCGGATGTGTATGAAAGGTCAAAGGACCCATAGTATAAGCAAATACTATAGATTAGTAATCTATAGTATTTGGTATAAGGAATAAGAAGTATGCTCAATGATAAGACTGCGCATATTTTTTTAAGGGGCAATGTATAATTTATATAGGCAACCAACAATATCCACAAGGCGAAGTTACGAGCATAGATATATACTATATATATAGTATGTATATAGTATTTATCTATGGTCACGAGTATACATTTAATCTTATGCAATGTAGTATTCACAAAAACCACAGGCTTCTATTATACTACTAATATATAGAAATCTGTGACAAAAACACCAGGCGATGTTTATGCGCGAACGGTTCGAGTTGATCATACTTCTTATTTCTTAAGAATTGAATTTCTAAGCTATGAAGCGGTCGTACCTTTTATTGTGTTTTTGTTTTTTGATTTCAGAATGAAGTTCTCACCGTTTCGTACACAACATCGACCAATCCACAGAAGCACTTTTCGTTACTTATATCATTCTGTTTAAACCTCCATGTTAATGATAAGAATAACGATCACGTTATTATATGATAAGAACACGTAAACGGGTCACGGAAGAGTTGTTGTAGTCATCAAATACCTCGTTTTCGGTTCATTTTGTTCTGGTAAGTTTTTTCAATTTTATTTAAATGTTAAGTATGTTTATAATCACACATTTAAAAATTTAATTTCAAAATACTCTGACAACGCAGATATTGTGATTAGATTGTATTTCAACGTTTATAACGAAGTAGGTACTAGGTATAGAGAAATCGACAAATAGGTTATATTTTGTTTCATAATTGTCCATTTCATATAATTTTAACTCTTCTAAATCGTTTAAGATATTTACTTGGCAAATAGTTTAAAAAAGATTTAATGGTTAACATTAACAGAACAAAATAATATACATGTTTTTATCTATACTTATTACTTATTGTATAATATAATTGGTTTGTCAACGTCACATTAAATGTTGGTCCATTTTGCTAGTTCGTTTCTTCTAAATTCCCTAAATGAATCGAGTTTACATATCCATGTTATTCAATTGGGTACAATTCAAGATAACGTACATTTCAAAATGAATGGATATTCAACATAATACATTGCATTTTGGCAGTGCCGCAATATATAATGTTTAACATTCACTTACTGAAAATCAACAATAGCTAAACCATTTACCATTATATATTATGATTATGTTAATAATACATTTTTTTTTTTAATTCTCAATGATTTATTTTTCATTTTTTAAAAATAGTATAAACTTAACAGATTGCCCTCCATATGACCGCAGTCACATGCTATGTATTATCGACACGCCAAGGATATTTTTCCATGTCATTAAAAACTTTGATTAACCGTCAAAGTAATAAAAGACTAAATGGGTGGTGGTAATCAAAGTCTTGCTATGTATTATGTACATATAATTAATTATTTTATGTATACCTACGATAATGAAACAATATTTTGTAGTAAGCCTGTACTAATAACTTGAGAGACCATCTTACCACATGTGTTCTCTCTGTCTTACTCTTTTGCAATTTAAAGTGCAAAACATTACAGATCAATCAAACTTTAAATTTTTAAATAGGTATATTCAGTTAAAATTAGTTTATTATATTTTCCAGTTTAATATCTTAATTGAAGATATTTTTATAGAATACCCATATTTACTTATTCACAATATAAAAGAAAAAATGTAATACTTAGACTGGAAGTTATCATCACTCTCACAAAGTATTGACTTAAGTAGGCAGGGCCGGATTGGTTAGGCGAGCTACCAAGATGTTCTCGGTAGGCAGGTCGTATGAATGTAGGTGAAAATAAATTCATGTCTAAAATACGTTTTTCCACCTATAAGCTCTTAACAATTTTAGACTTAATTTTTGCCCAATGAAGATGTAAATGAGCCGCTTAGAAGTGAAAATCTTAATGGGCCGATACATACCAATCCTGCCCTGTAGGTAGGTACTTTGTATTAATAGTTAATTAACTATTCAAGTAATGAATGCATGACTTATTAAGTTTGATAAAATTCACTACTAATTTGAAAATATTAGTTGTAACATTGGTTGTGTTTTAATACTAATTTATACAATGTACGTTTTATATCAACATAATCAGATTTTAATATTAGTTACATACATATTTTAAACTATCTATTAAAAAAAAAATGATATTTTATTTGTTACAATTATTTAAATCTGTATTATTAATTTTTTAATTACTTTTCAGTAAATTAATGCGTTTAAAATTGTTAATTGACTTTCATCAAACAATAATTTTTGGAACGCAATCTGTTCGTGGACTACGATTACCCAAATACCAAGTAAGAAATATTAAAGTAAAAATTAAAAATAACTAAAATGTTGTCGTTAAAAACATTATAATTTGTAACAATTTGGTCCTTAATTTATTGTCTGTAAATAGTATAAGAGATCATATATGTAGATATTTGTGATGATCAGTTATACTATGATATAAATTATTATATTAAAATATGTTTATAATCATATTCTAACTGTAATATACAGTAACTTTTAGTGCAATGTGTAATTTAGTAAATTATTTATAAGTAGCGGTTCATAAAATGAACTAACAAGAACTATTTATAAATAATATACCATCTAACATATAAAAAATGAATTATTTTTGTATTTGAAAAAAATAACAATTTATTAGGTATTGAAACTCAGATAAATTTCAATTTACTTTGAAATGCTTATTAGTTATTAATAAAGAAATGACTATATTAGGTAAACTTAGCTTCGTTATAGTACTTTTTAATAAATTGAAACTTCTAAAACTATTTTTTCAATTTTGTATATTCTATTATTTATCCTTTTAGTGAACTTAAAAAAAAAACTTGTTTTAATTCTATAATTATAATATTATTGTATCTAATAATAACTATATCTAGTTTGTTTTTTATTTTTTTAGAAACCGAGTAAGAAAAAAATGGCATTGAAGGAAAAAGAAGGAAAACAGTCGCAAGTTTCAGAATTGAAACCTTGGCCATCCTACATTGAGGTTAGAATAGTCGATTAAATTTATGTCTATTTACTATATTTTACTGCTTTTGACTTATAAGACTTCTTTAATTGATTTACATCATATTAGTATAATTTTGGTTACTGAATATTTTAAAAATTGAACTGTTTCTAGTGCACAAAAGGCAAATGTATGAATTGTTGCTTGTGCACTACATACAAAAATATTTTTGTGCACTCACATCAATTTATACAATTATTTTTAGTGTACTGGTTTGTTATTGCCCCACCACCGGGTTGAACATCTGTTGTACTTTGAAGTTACAAAACTTTCAAATAAAAGTAAATAATAACAATAAATTGTTTACAATTAATAGCAACATAGTTAATAATTGTAATTATATCTCAAAATTACACTTAAAAGAATATGAAAGATTTATAAAGTTCCTTAAATTTTGCATATTTTATCTGTTTTAACAATTTATTTTTGTTGTAAAAATTGAATGCTAGTATTAAACATTGCAAAAATAATTCATTAAAATTAATTTTTAACAATATTCATAATAAGCTATTAACATTTGTAAGATAGGTACCCACTTTAAATTATACACCTACGATATAACAAAACAACATGTTGACAACATATTAACATAGTAACATGATTAAAATATTATAAAATATAAGTAATTACCTTTTATTCCATAAATTTATCACATACTGGATTTACCTAGACATAAAATATCATAAAAATATGGAGACTTTAGATTTTAGAATTGGTAAAGACTGCAGAAGTGTTAACATAAGGCCGTCTAGTGGCAGGATGATAAATTGTAAGGTTTGGTGGTGGGACAAGAACAAACAAGTACCTTTCTGGTATCAAAATTTTTATTACAAATTTGAATACTATTTTCAATAGATATGTAGGAAAACATTTTTTTTCAAACTAAAATGGATAGAACTACATAACTATATAAATATTCTGGTCTAAAGCTCAGTCACATACGGCCAAATATTTTTTAATAAAAATATTAATAGATACTTTTAAACAATTGTATACAATTATATACTATACATATTTTATCATATTTTTTTTTATTTTAGGATCGTTTGAAGCTTTGGGATAAACTTAAAGAACAATATAATAATGAACTAGCCAATAAGATACTGGAACCTATAACTGTAACATTTCCTGATGGAAAAACCACTAACGCTAAGGCTTGGCAATCTACACCATATGATGTAGCCAAAGGCATTAGGTTTGGAACTAAACCTAATTTTTTTTATCAATATGTATTTTGTACATATAATTAAATTTTTAAATATGTATGCAGTCAAGGACTTGCCGATAATACCATAATTGCTAAGGTTAATGGAGAGCTTTGGGATTTGGATAGACCATTGGAAAAAGATTCAACATTGCAGTTACTCAAAATTGATAACGAAGAGGCTCAAAAAGTATTTTGGCATTCATCTGCTCACATGCTAGGTGAGGCGATGGAAAGAATATATGGTGGATGTTTGTGCTATGGACCACCTATTGAAGGAGGATTTTACTATGATATGTTTATTGAGAACAAAGGAGTAATTATCTTTTATTATAAATAATCAATATAATATGTATTTAATTTTATAATATATACCTCTAAGCATAAGAATGATTAGTATGTATTTTTTATAAATTACCCGTGTTTATTAGGTATCAAACTTCGATTTTCCTGTTATGGAAAATCTTGTCAAACAAATTGTTAAAGAAAAACAACCTTTTGAACGGCTTGAAGTTAGTAAAGAAGATCTACTGGAAATGTTCAAGGTAATATTCAAAATATGTTTATTGATATATTGGTTTTTAATAAGCTTTAGAATAAATCATTTTTTTAAATTAATAGTTGATTTAAATTAAGTTTTTAGGTGCACAAAAATGTTTATATTTGTTTATTAAAACTCATGTAATAGATTAATTTATAAGATAGTAAATAATATATTTATAAATATATTCTTATATAATTAGTAAAATTATCAAACTATTAATTTAGACATTACAATTTATTTTGTATAATATATTGGATGAAGCCAACTAAATATGCCATTAACTGCACCCTAGAAAACTCATTAAATGAATAAAGTGCTTTAACGTTTATAAACATAATTTGCATTTATTAATAAGTGGATAATTATTATAATATCTATATTATAATAAAATAAAACATCATTCTAATAACAGTTATATTTTAAATCATCATTAGTATAATTCATCTTGAATTATACCAAAGAAAATTAAATAATTCACTATAATAAAATTTAAAAAAAATTAGTTGTACTTATTTTTATTGTGGTGTTATTTAGTACAATGAATTTAAAGTGAGAATCCTTAACGAAAAAGTTACAACACCAACAACTACTGTTTACCGATGTGGGCCATTAATTGATTTATGCAGGGGACCACATATTCGTCATACAGGCAAAGTCAAAGCTTTTAAAGTTGTCAAAGTAAATATGACTTTTTTTTAATTATTAGTATATTGTATTACTATAGAAATAACATTTTTTTTATTGTAGAATTCTGCAACTTATTGGGAAGGAAATTCCACGGCTGAAACATTGCAGCGTGTCTATGGTATTTCATTTTCGGACAATAAGCAAATGAAAGAATGGGAAAAATTCCAAGAAGAAGCTGCTAGAAGAGACCATCGTAAAATTGGAAGAGTCTGTATTATTATTATGATTATGATAAAATTAAGTGAATAGAAACTAATTGTATTTATAACTATATACTAGGAACAAGAACTATTTTTCTTCCATGAATTAAGTCCAGGATCTTGTTTCTTCCAACCAAAAGGTGCTCATATTTATAATACTTTAATTGAGTTCATTAAAAGTGAATACAGAAAACGTGGTTTCCAAGAAGTAGTATCGCCGAATATTTACAATGTTAAGTTATGGCAAACATCTGGTCATTGGGCACATTACGCAGTAAGTTAACCTAGTTTCTTTTCAGCTTTTATTTGAGGGAGAAAAGAAGATTTAAAATTTATTTATTTAAATTATTAAATTATAAATCATTTAATTTTATTTGTATTATGCACAATTGCATAAAAGTAATTCATTAGATAACTAACAAATGACTAGCTAATGGCTCGTCAAATCAATGTTACATTGCAATCTACATAATTATTTAAAATATACCAATTAACAGCTGAGTTTATATCACAAGGTGGTAATCGTGAATTTTTATTGATAAGATTATAATCAGTAAAAACAATTAATAATAACTAATTAATTACTGGTAACATATTTTAACAGTCTTTAAAATGTAACAATCTGATATCGGGTACCCGCGGTTATTTTATATAATCCATAATTTTAATCAATTATTCTCATACTTTATAAATAATTGATATAATCGAAATTCGATTAGTCGATTAATCGATTTTTTTTTATAAATCGAATAATCGAAAATGAATTATGACTGAGATTTATTTATAAATTATAATTAAAAATATTTTACGATTATACGTAACATGAAATATAAAATGTTCTCGTTAGCGGTCACGGTCCACATAACGTATGTTCAGCAAAGGTGACTGTATTTTAACAGATCTCAGATCATCATTAAGCAATGAACATGCAAGCCAACTAATATACTTAACGATGAATAAAGATTATGTCCCTAAACCAATATTTTAAATAAACATTTTATTTTTTATGATTTTACAATATACAGTGTTTTATTTTATTATTTATAAGGAATTTAATTTAATTTAAATTCATTTAGTTACAAAACAAAATGGTCAAGTAGTCATATAGGAAAACATATTAATAACGTTTTGTACTTAGTTTTATTTTTCCAATAATAATAATTTAAAATATTTCTTTAGGTGTTTTGAAGTTTCAAACTATTTTCATCAAAAAGTTAAGACATACAACTAATAAGTTGATATTGTAATATAATTATTTTTTATAGTTAATAATAAGAATATGTAGAAATACTTAACAAGTAATCAGGTGGTACGATGGTGATGAAATGAGTGGTTGGTAAGAGTATGAACTATGAACAAAATGGGTAGAATAGTATACACATAGACCAACTATATCAATGGAAAAGGCTTTTTTTAAGAAAGAGGAGCAACATTTTTTTTGTTTTTATATTTGGTCAGTGCCCAGAAGTTTCCATAAATATACTGAATTGAATTGGTCTCTGTTTCTTTTTATAAGGAAAATTTAACTATTTAATATTCGTTTCTCTAACTATATTCCTATTAAGAGGATGCTACCCATGCATTTGTTTTCGCCGTCTTACGCACGTACGACATAGCAAATTTTCGTTCACTAGTTTCAATAGTGTGCTATAAGTTTTGATATAGAGTGATTTAATCTATTTTCATTTTTTTAGATAATAACATTATTTATGCTTAAGTATTGACTTTTATTCGATATTTTAATTTTCAAGCGAGATATGAACATTTTTAATTTTTGATATTTCACATACCCATCTTGCTTGAAAATGCAAATTTCGAAAAATAGGCAACGCTTAAACACAGCAAATGTTCTTACCTAAAAGTTTTATAATAGGTCAATTCTCTCTAGTATCAAAACGAACAGCACACTATTGAAACTAGTGAACGACAATTTGCTATGTCGACTGCGTATGTAAGACAAAGTCTACAAATGTATGGGTAGCGTCCTCTTAAGTGTAATAATTATCAAATAATCAGTGTTTAGTTGTTACAGTTAATCTCAGATTATAATGTATTATTAATTGATTGTAAAAATTAATATTGTCTACCAATTATAACCTATTATAATTTATGTCTAAATAATAACCAATTATAATTTATAGTGTGAAAAGTATCGATTATAATTTTTCTTTTGATAATAATTGATTATAATTTATGAATACAAAATAACCGACTATAGTAATAGTATTGATTATAACCGGTTATAATTTATCATAATTCATGTATAAAAAAATAACCAATTATAATCATTGTCCGTTAAATGTTTTAAGATCTTTTATGCATCTGGGAATAATTCTAATAATATTATGTGCAAAGATAAGTAAAAATCATTAACTTATATATTTTATTCACTATAACTTTGCCCTTATATATTCAAAAAATGTTTTATTTGCATTAAAACTTTTTACTTGAACTGAGAACTTTATGATACACTTAACATATCTTATATTTTGTTTAACTTATAATTGTAAATTGTAAATGTTAATTAAAATTAATTTTATTTCCAGGAAAACATGTTTTCGTTTGATGTTGAGAAAGAAACATATGCTCTGAAACCAATGAATTGTCCTGGCCATTGGTAAATACATTGATTTTTTTTATCTAATTAATTAAATAATAAGTCCAATTTTGCTGTGGTAATGAAGAACAATATATAATCTGTTAAAATGTAAAATATTATACAATTGTTTACAGTTTAATGTTTGATCATCGTAATAGATCATGGAGAGAACTGCCACTTAGAATGGCAGACTTTGGTGTACTTCATCGTAATGAGTTATCAGGGGCTTTAACAGGATTAACCCGTGTTCGACGTTTTCAGCAAGATGATGCTCACATATTTTGTACTACTGAACAAGTTAGACAAAATCAGATTAAACGGAATATTCAAATATATTAATTTATTGTTATTTGATTTAGATTGGTCAAGAAATGATGAGTTCATTAGACTTTTTACGTCATGTATATACTGTATTTGGATTTACATTCCATCTTCGATTATCTACAAGACCTGAAAAGTATTTAGGCGAGTTGGAAATGTGGGAAAATGCTGAAAAGGTTAAATGTTAACATTTTATTTATACAAAGTAGATTTCAAAATGCCTAATATCATGTGTTTAATAATTTATTTAGCTTACATAAATTATTTTATTACAACGTGTTTCTAATTTTTCTTTACATATTTTAATAGCAATTAGCTGATAGCTTAAATTCATTTGGTGAACCATGGACACTAAATCCAGGAGATGGTGCTTTCTACGGACCAAAAATTGATATAACTATTTCCGATGCTTTAAAACGCCAACATCAATGTGCTACCATACAACTTGATTTCCAGCTCCCAATTCGGTTTAATTTAAACTATATCAGGTATTTAATTTAAAACCTTAATTGTTAGCAAATGTCAATAATTAATTTATAAATTATACAATGATTATTCTACAATTCAAACATTTTGCTGTAGTGAATCAGGAGAAAAGAAACGCCCAGTAATCATACATCGTGCTATATTTGGTTCAGTAGAAAGAATGATAGCTATTTTAACTGAATCGTTTGCTGGAAAATGGCCATTCTGGTTGTCACCTAGACAAGCTGTTGTAATACCTGTTGGTCCTCAATTTGACGAATATTCAGAAAAAGCAAGTTTTATTTGTTTCCTGGTATTATAATTTATTGTATTTATCTAATTTAAATCTTATCAATAGGTAAAAAAAGAAATATACGAGGCTGGATTTATGTGTGATGTAGATGTTGATCACGGTGATACTTTAAACAAAAAAATTCGCAATGCACAATTGGCACAATATAACTTCATTCTTGGTTTGTATCTTTGTTAATTAACTTTGTAGTAATTTTTAATTAATTTCTTTAATTTAATAATTATAATAATTATAATAATAATAATTTTTTATCAATATTCCAGTCGTTGGAGACAAAGAAAAGACTGCAAACACTGTTAATGTTCGCACGAGAGACAACAATGTTCATGGTGAATTCAGTATTGAAGAGACAATTCAAAGACTACAAAGATTAAAGATTTCAAAAACAAATAATAGTGAAGTTGAATTTTAATTAAAATGTATTGATTAAATCAATGCAACAAAAATTATTTAGAAAATAGTATTCATAACTTTTTCACTAAATTTATCCGTTTCATTAATTTTATTCTATCAACAACATTTTGATTTAAACTATAATAAGTTGCATTTATTCTATTTATTATATAATAATTTATACTTTAAAAATGAGTTTCCTTATACTAAAGACTAGTTTTAACTAAATATTAAGATTAGACTTTGTAAATTGTGGAAAATGATTTTTTTTAATATAATTCTTTTCACCAAGTTTTAAATGTTTATCTTCTTTACTTTTCTACTCTTCTACACAAGGTAAAATGAATCACTGGAAAATGATATAAACATTAATACATAATATAGTCATACTGTCAACCACTAGATCATTTTTTAAGTTTTGGAGGGCTTGAATTATTTATATGAATACACAATTATTCATTTCAATTAAATAGTCTCTCTACTCGATATATCTATTGACTGATAGAATTAGACTATGTTTTTAATATTTCACCCAAACATTCCAAAGTTCTAGCGTATCATACTCTATACTAATTTGGTGTTCAACCTGTTAAAAAGTTCAACGTCGTATCTTTTTTTATAGGTAAAGTAAAGAATTATTATGACATTTTAAAAACATATGCTGAATATTTTCAACGAGATTTATATATGAAAAATAACTTAGTGATCAGACTATTGATCCAAGCTCAAAATTAAATCTGACTAGAGATAAGACTGAAGATTAATGTTTTCAATGAATTAATATTTATAAATTACTCGTGTTCGTATTAATAAATCTCAACATCTTGAAAGTTTTTTAATAAAATTTTAATCATTTTTTAATTGCATATTATTATAATAGACAGATATTATGTATTTTATTAAATATTAATTGGATTAAAAAAAAAAATACATTTTAGTATAGTAAAGTAATAGGTTTCAAGTAAAGTGAAGACTAAAGATGTAATATTCATCAATACAAAATATATCAATTATAATAATAAATAATAAGCATATAGGTAATTCCATTAAAATATAAACTATACGAATTACAATTTTCAAGTAGTTTATTTTTTTTTTTTTTTTTAAATCACAGGTAAGTAGTAATTAAATGAAATTGTTTACTTACTTATACTGCCATTATCGATGGTTATCACTGTATGCACAGTGGTATTATTACAGTTTTTATTAAACCAAGGCAACTTTTCACTGCTTTTTCAGACTCAACATTTTTTTCCACTCAGATTCTCATAGCATAGTGCTATAGTGGTTAAGGTGGGGGGAGTGGTGGTAAATGTCATGTGCCGACTTAAGGTTGATGTAAATACTAAACTGGGACAAATGCCTCAGTTGCCCCAGCCCCCCCTCAATGATGCCACTGTGTATGCATGTATATGTATACATATACCTGTATATATTACTCAATTCCAACAATATTTTGAGAAGAGGTCTTAAGCCCCCCCCCCATATATATTCCTAAAAAGTAACCCAATGGAGCTTTGTCTCCAGCCATTCATCACCAATGTTTATTATAAAATTAATAAATAAAATAAATATTTTTACTCTAGTTTAATTTTAATTTTATTATTACCGATGAAAGCGTTTACAACTTGTTTCAAGTCATGTTTTAAAATAACTTAAAGTCAGATGTATTATCAATTATTTTAGTTATAATTTAATAATCATTATTCATATTACAATTTTGTAACCTAACCTCAAAAAGCACTCTTATAGTCTATCTCTCTCGTAGATATTGAACTTTCTCTCTTCCCCAAAAAAGACCGCAACTTCTTACGAAGCCAGTATAGGCGTGTCCTATCCATAGATATATAAAAAATACTAGATAGATAACTTTGAAATGTTTTTGAAGCCAACAAAATGGCCGAAATTCTCCTATCTAAGAGGTGAATGTTTACATTTTCATAACACTGATAAAGATATTATTGTTATCAATTTGTCATAATATGAGAATATTCAATATTATAAATTATAAGTTTAAACTTTAAAGTTGTATAGTTAGTTCATGATGTTAATAACTTAACTTACTTACATAAGTCATAAATACATATTATCAACTTTTAGCTTATTCAACAGTTATGTAAATTATGTAATGGTGCATGTGAATATTACATTATTGTAGTAAGCGAGTTACTACGCAACAACTAAAATCCTAGCAGGTAACATATTTAGGGTAGTACATTGTAGATAGGTAACAATCAGATATGCCACAGGGAAGTAGAAAATATCTAGTTAGCCTTGATTATGTTTAATACAATATAGTCAAAAAAGCCTGTGTTAATATAATACCCAAAGCGAAAGGATAAGCAAAATTACATTTTTATTATATTCAAATAATAAAATGACAGATTGTCATAATCATGTTCTACGATCATATAGAAAAGGCGGATGTGAAATTGGCAATAGCGTTATTCAATATAAAATAGTATAATATAAAAAAAAGAGTATAATAACTTAATATAATACAACGAGTAGCCAATAAATTAATTATCAGTCTATTATAATAATACGCAGAATAGATTAGAATTTCGCAAGTACGTGGGCCGGGTTGATAGTCACAAAGACCACATCCGTTAGAACCAAGATACAATATCACTAGCCACTAGGCAAGGGGAGCGGGGACCGAACTATAAGAGGGACCACGAAACGGTCTGTATTCAGACGTGTACACTCATTACTACTGCAAGCACCTTCACGCAGCTCCGTATAACGATTGTCATTTTGGACTTAGCATCATTGTGATTGTTGGAACTAAATAAACAGCAATATACTTTTGGCATTTGTGTTATAATTATTCAACGACTACCTCAACTTCACAGTAAAAGGTCTAGCTGCCTGCAACTGTTAATATACTAGTAGCTGTCAGAGCCACCAGAATATTACATTATTTAATAAAAATTTGTTCTATTGTAAAATATTTTTAAAAACAATCTGAATTAATGAATTAAAAATTTTACATCCATTTATTATTTTTGAAAAACTATATTTAAAATCAATAAAACAAAACTGGTATACTACATTTTTTAATTAATATTACAATTTTTTTAAAAAAAAAACAAAATTACACTGGTACCTATCTACTAGTAGTATACCTAGTATAATAATAATAATAATAATAAAATATTTAAAATCAATAAAATAAAACTGGTAAACTAAATAATTTAATAATAATATAATAAATGTTTAAAACAAAAAAAACAAAACTGGTATACAACCTAGTATAATAATAATCTTAAAATATTTCAAATGAATAAAACCGGTATACTACCTTCTATAATAATAATCATAAAGTATTTAAAATTAATAAAACAAAACTTGTATCTATACTTGTGCTACACATTATAGTAATAAATATAAAATATTTCAAGTAAATAAAACAAAACTAGTATATTAATTAATTTAATAATAATACAAATATTTAAAATAAAACTGGTACCTATAGTCTATACTACATATAATATTTTATACCTACTACTGGTTCATAAAAATTATTTGTTTATTTGTCTTTTTCTAACAGGATTTAAAATTTCTGTTGAAAACATTTTGCCAAAAGAATGGAGTCGAATACTTAGATGTTTTTTAACTCATAATGAAATTAATACCATCTTATGGGGTCTATCTAGCAAAGGAACATTATCACATTGAAGTGCATTAAAAATATTATTATCGAATGCAAATGTATTATTACATAAGTTTATTATTTTTAAATCAAGATTTTTATATTTAATGTTTGTATTTGATTTTGATGTGTGGCTTTATATACTCCTATACACTACAATGTTTTACAATAAACTATAAATTAATTAATCAAAATCATTCTTAACAAAACTAAATCATATTTTACTAATATAATTTACCAAGAGTTTAAGAACCAATTTTTGTAATTTCACCAAGTATAAGATATAATATATTAATATTAAATTAAATCTTTTTTGTTTTACTTTATTTTGTTGTAATATGACATAACATAAAGTTAAATTTATTTTCATTTTAGTTCATTTTTAATATGAACTCAGATCATTAGAATTCAAGCATGTGCTTATTGGACGAGCTTGAAACTTGTTTATTATATCTATATTGTATTTCTCGTTTTTTGCAATAAATTACACTTTTAATCTTAATTTTAAGTCAAGGACTAAGATATACTATAAAATTAAAAATATAAGTTATAAGTACATCTTAGTCCGTGTTGTAACTAGTAAGTGTATAATGATATTGTAATTTGTAATACATATTTAATAGTTTTTGATTCCCGCCATAAAATTATCACAGTTTATCATAATTTATATTTTGTAAACATTCACCTCTTAGATAAGAGTATTTCGGCCATTTTGTTTGCTTCGTAAATATTACATTGTAGGAATAGGGAGTCTATCTAGTATTTTTATATATCTGTGGTCCTATCCATTCTTATAATATCTATGCATATCACAGTACAACCGCGGTTCTACCTAACTTGGTGATAAAGATATAAATGATAACACATAACATAAAATGAGATTAACAATTAATTAACACCGCACGCCTTGAGCGTCAGTCTCAAAAAAAACGTTGAGGTAACTATAATTTATTGATGTTCAATGGGTAACTTAAGAAGTTTAGTGATGGGTCTCTTGTAAGTGGAGTGGGCTGTGGGGATGGTGACGACTCGCACCAGGTCGTCATGGGTACTTGGATGTATGGCGATGACTCTGGCCAAGGGCCATTGCAAGGGTGAGGTGTGGTCATCCTTCACAGCAACAAGATCATCCACTTGAAGATTGCATTGAGATGTACGCCATTTGAGGCGTTGTTGCAGGGTGTGGAGGTAGTCTGACGGCCATTGCCGCCAGAACTGCTACTGCTGCTGCAGGAGTAATTTCCAACGGTTAAGACGATTACAGGGTGTGTTGACATAATCCGAACTGGGCACAGCAAGCAATGATTCTCCAATGAGGAAGTGTTCGGGAGTCACTGCAGAGTAGTCACTGGAATCCATGGACATGGCACACAGGGATCTGGAATTCATTATGGCTTCTATCTGGCAAAATAACGTCTCGAGCTCTTCGTGGGTATAGACATGAAGGTTAGTGAAACGCTTCAGGATAGACTTGCAGGACTTGACATTTGCTTCCCATAAGCCTCCAAAATGTGGCGCATCTGGAGGTATGAACTACCAGGTCATCTCTCGTTGTAAGCAGTACCCACGTACCTTGTCTTGTACAGGTGTGGACTGAAGGAATGAACGCAGTTCACGTAATGTGTTGTTGGCACCGACAAAGTTGGTCCCATTGTCACTCATGAAAGTGGAGGGGTACCCACGTAGAGACACAAATCGGCGGAATGCTGCTATAAAAGCTTCTGTGCTTAAGTCATTAATCACTTCAAGATGAACAGCCTTAGTAACAATGCAGATGAAGAGTGCTAAGTAACTCTTGGTGTGGACTCGCGGCAAGCGTGTAGTAAACGGCTCAGCATAGTCCACTCCACACTGTTTGAAGGGCTTGGATATAGTGGTTCGTGAGGGTGGTAGATCGGCCATCATCTGTTCGCTTTTGAGTGGCCGAAAGCGATAACATTGCACACATTGATGGATTATTCGTTTGATCGTACTACGTCCATGTATGATTCAATAACGTCCACGTAGTACAGCCATGGTTACGTTTAAACCAGAGTGTAGGTTGAGGACATGCTCGTGCCGTATAATTAACAGTGTCAGATGATGCCCCTTTGGTAGTATGATAGGGTGTTTGTGGTCATATGTAAGATCAGACCGACCCAAGCGATCACCAACTCGTAGTAGACCGGCTGAATCTAGAAATGGATTAAGGCTTTTTAAGGTACTGGTAGCGCGGTGTTCTGACGTATATCATTCAACTCAGTAGAGAAATCTTGTTCTTGTGCAGACCTGATCCAATTATGTAATGCCTGCTTCGTCTCACACACACTTATAAAGCCGAAGACCCGGTTCTCAGCGCTCGTTCTGCAGTTTTTTATGAAGCGAAAAAGATATGAGGTGATGCGTAACAAACGATCAAGGTCGGAATACCTGGTTATAATATCAGAGGTCACAACAGTTGGTAAGGCAGTTGTCGACACTGAACGTTCCTCTGGCACGATTGATGTTGGGCCAACTATCTTGATCAGGCAGAGAGGTCGGTCCTTGCCACCACAGGTCTCATGCGATCAGTTGGTCACCTGTCAATCCTCGTGATGCGACGTCTGCAGGGTTGTCACCTGAGCGAACGTGCTTCCACGTAACATCTGGTACCAGCTGCTGTATCTGGGTGACGCGATTAGCCACAAAGGTGGTCCATCGATATGGTTCACTGGCAATCCAATGGAGAGCAATGGTAGAATCACTCCACAAGTACACATGTGTTAACGGAATGTTCAATGTTGGCACCAACTCGTGGATAAGTTGGGCGAGTAGGAGTGCACCACACAGTTTGAGTCTAAGAACCGATATTTTTTTTAGTGGAGCCACTCGTGTTTTGGACCAACAGAGTAGTGGTGCAGATGTCAGCCGTGGCACTGATGTAGATAACGGCGGCGTAAGCAAGCTCGGAGCTGTCCCAAAACCCGTGCAAGGTGTATGAGATGACCGGCAGCGATGAGCGGTTGATGTAGCGTGGTATGTCAAATGTGTCTAAGTGGGTATATGAAAGACGATGTGCAGTCCATATGGATGTCAAGTCTACCGAAACCTTTTCATCCCACGCAACCTTTTCTTTCCACAGCCTTTGTAGTACCAGTTTAGACACGATCACCAAGGGAGTTAACCATCCACAAGGGTCATAAACACGCGCTACCTCACCTAGGAGTTGTCTTTTCGTAAGCTGTTTTACTGTCTAGGTTGCATGTGTTTGAATAGAAAACGTATCCTTAGTCGCATTGTATGACACGCCTAAGAGCTTGATGTCCATCTCCAGATGGTCCTGCCGTGACACAATGTTCAGCTGGAACTCCCTGTAACACTGAAGTACAATTACTAGCCCACTTCCGTAATGAGAGTCCACCTTGTTTTAATAGACTTATGGTTACTCACTGTAGCTCAACCAACTCGTCGGCAGAATCACATCCAGTCATGACCTCGTCCACATAAAAGTCTTGACGAAGAACTTGTGATGATGTCGGATGCGACGCCGTCTAGTCATCAGCTAACTGACATAGTGTCCGGATAGGGTGATGTCACGAGGCCATAGGTGACAGTGTTGAGTAGGTATTGTTGAATAGGATCTGATGGATCAGCACGCCATAAAATATATTGATATTTCCTGTCAACCGGGTGCACTAGAATTTGTCGGAACATCTATTTAATATCGGTGCTGAAGACGAATCGTGAAAAAGTTGATTATGATACTTACAATGTGGCGTTGTAACTTCTGACCTTTGTGAAGATTGTCGTTAAGTGACTGACCTGTGTTCATAACGCTAGACCTGTCAAAGACAACCCGTAACTTGTTCGTGGTGCTGGATGGTCGACAGATATGATGATGTGGGATGAAGACGAGTGCCTGCTGTTCATCCTGAGTACTCACCTTTTCCATATGATTGGACTGTTCATAGTCCTGCATGAATTCATGGTACTGGCCAGCAACGTCTGGGTGTTTCGACAGAAAGCGTTCAACCTTTTGTAGACGCTGATAGGCAAGCCAGTAAGAATTGTTGGTTGCCACTTCACTTTTGAATGGCAAACACAGTATGTAATGACCCTCAGCATTTCTAGTATGTGTACTTACATAATGCTCCTCACATGCCTGTTCAGCAGGTGACATGACAGTAAGTTGTGGAACTTCTTCAAGTTCCCAAAAGTTTTTTATTGTATTTTCCAAGGATGCAATTAAGTGGTAGGACACAACAGAACTGTTGACACAACAGAACTGTTGACACAACTGATTGTCTTTGTTGGTTTCAAGGTGGATTTTGCAAAATTACCGCCAAACACAATCCAACCAGGGTGGAATTTTGCTATGTGGGACTGCCTTCGATCGGTCCACGTATCTTACCATCTTGAACGATATCCATGAAAATCTCAGCACCAATAAGTCATTCAATTTTTCCTGGTGTGTGAAATAGTGGATCAGCTAAAGAGAAGTCTTGTAGATGTGTCCAATGATCAACATTCAATTTTGTGGTAGGTAAATCCACTGTGACACATGGAGCGACCAGTGCATTTAACGTATAGCTGATATCTGTTGCGATACGAAATGATGTGACTTCAGACACATTAGTAGTGGCATTGGAGATCCCTCCCACAACAATGGTTGATCTATGACATTCTAGACCTAACCTAGTAGCTAATGAGCTGGTAATAAAGTGTGATTGTGAAGCAGAGTCCAACAGCGCACGACACAGTTCATTTTGTCCATTAGGTCCATGTACACGTACCAACGCCGTAGACAGAAGTACTAACGACAGTGAACGTGATGTTCCATGGGCTGCTATGGTTTCAAAGGTTGTAGATGATGTTGCCGGAGGTGTGTTCACGTTACTATTGTCTACCGTGGATTCAGGTAAATGCAACAACGTATGGTGTTTCGCTTGACACACCTTACATACTTTATCCATAGTACATTGATTTTTCTGATGGCTTGGACGCAGACAGTTCCAGCACAGTGATAACTTCAGAGCTAACGTTTGTCGTTCTTCGACACTAGCTTTCATGAACATGGAACATTAGTATATGCTATGTGGTAATGAACATACTTGACAAGATGGCTTACTGTCCTGTTGTCTTACCATAGTAGCATGTGAAACGGTTTTTGTTGTTGTCTTTGGCTTACTAGGTCCATGCCTAAACTGCATGACCTCAAGAGCATGAACTCTATTCAAAAAAAAAAAAAACTCTATTTTAACTCTATACTTCTATTAAGCATTAACTCGATTCTCTATGAACTCACCCAAATTGTGCCATGTGGGAAAGTTAACATAGCTGGTCGACTCAATTTCCCAAGTCTTCCTCATCTCAGGTGGCAGCTTTGTAGACACCAGATGAACGAGTATGTCATCCCAATACTTGGCAGGACGTCCTAATGCTTGTAATGCCCTCGCTTGTAATGCCCTCACATGTTTGTTAGTGCAATCAATTAGGGTTTTTAATGTAATTGCAGACTCCTGCTGAGAAGCTGGTAGTGAGAACAAATGATGCATGTGTATTTGAAACACCAAGCAGGTACTTGTTATCATATCTACTTACAACAGACTTCCAAGCTTCTGTGTAATTAATTGCGGTGATGATATAACTGTAGAAGCTTGTCCTACTAAACTTGTTTTCAAATAGTACATTATTTCGGTGTTGTTTATGTCTTTGTTGTTATGTACCATTGTTTCAAATTGATCCTTGAATGAATACCATTCATCTAAATTACCTCCAAATTGTGGTAAGTTGATTGGTGGTAGCCGAATGTTCTGTTGAATAGTTTGCCTGTCTTCACCGATCGTTAGATTAGACAATGATTCCAAGAAATCGGCCTTCAGTGTAACATATGTGTTAGACACTTCCATCAGCTTGTCTATGTGCTCTTGTTGACCATCTTCATCTGGATCGGCCAACTGCTCATGTATACCTATGTATGATGTAAACGCATCTTCGAGCAGAGCAAGTTGTGTATTTATGGTAAATTCATTTAATGTTTCGATCAAATCTTTCGTATGTGCACTACGTTTCTTCTCGATTAACTTCCTCTTGTTGAGGAACGGTTTTTTTATTTTTTCCATATTGCGGGGCGCACTATGACGATTTTATAGCGGATACGGACGAGACGCACAATGACGATTGTCGATTACACCGCGAATACGGACGCGACGTACAACTTAACACGACGCACTATATTGATGAATATATGATACTGTGATCCGAGCCCGTTTGGACCAAAAATGTTGGGCAATTATATAAAAAAATAATAGCGCATAATTATTGTGAAAAATGTGTTTTTGCAACGGCATCAGCGGACTGTATATTGATTATTGTGTAATAATAACAAGCAAAAAAACGGACTTGTACAAAAAGAAAAATGTGTACTTAATCTTAAAAACAACATGTACAATAAATTACATTTCGGAAGCGTATCACAGTACAACCGCGGTTCTACATGGTTCTACCTAACTTGGTGATAAAGATATAAATGATAACACATAACATAAAATGAGATTAACAATTAATTAACAATAATATAGGTACCTACCAACTTTTAAGTTTGACTGAATGTGGCCTGCAATTAGAATTATCTGCTATAAAATAGGTCAATATAAAACTTGACAATAAAATATAAATGCACTTTATTAAGACGAGCGGTGATATTATGGTTAACAAATGGAGTTGAATATATTATGAGTGTCTATGGTTCACTGGTGCACTTGTGCAGTATTTTACTGTGCAATAAACTAAATGCTTAATTATTTATTTTTAATTTATATCTATTTATATAGAGTTCGGAGACTAATTTACTTTAGGGGATATGAGTATTTTGGGGGGAGCTCTTCCCCCAATTTGCTATGTTATTACTATTATATTAGTATAAAATCGTCAAGATTATTTATAAATGTCAAAGCACTATGACATAATATAATTATATTAGTTAGCGCATAAATGCATAATACTAAATATATATTTTATACTTTGTCTAAAAATGTAAAATCATTGGTTTCCAACATTTTTATCTGCACCCATTTCACACCTAAAATTGAGGGTAGTACTTATCGATATTATTTGAGATTTCCTAAACATATTTTAATCTTTGTAAAAGTACCTACCTAGATATACCTACCTACCTACCTATTTCAATATTGAAACCTAATGATTAATGAATTAAAATCATTCAAATATTCAGTCAAAGTTATTTAAATTATTTTGTACCCCTAATATAATATCATGAAATTCGGTCATGCAATTCAGCATGCGCCCGATAAAAGTTCGCAAGCAATCCGACCTGCAAAATTTGAGTTTTGGCACGTAATTCTGATGCGGCCGTTCGTTCGGATCAGCACCGCCGCTATTATTTTAATAATGATTTTATAATTTTTTTTTTCTTTATTTACAATTATAATTTCATAATAACGTTTAAATAGGTACGTGGGCGGCGATGGGCGTATTAAATCACGTTCGACGTTCGCTGTCATCGTCACTGCCGGCCGGCTATAAAACAGTCGTGCAAAGAGCGACGACTTGACTGGCACGTGTACACTATATACTATATGTATAGGTCAATGAATGACTGAGTTATTTGTCGGTAGTCCGAACAAGAAGTCATTGTCGACCGTCTATGATATGATATATTATTATTATTATACAGTTATTATAGTCAACCAGCCAGGCGTAAATAACTGCGACGCACAACGTCGACAATTTTATTATATTAATGGACGCGGGCTAAGTCGTTTTGTATTGTACGCGAAGTAAGGCACGTAATTAATGTTTAAATATAAAATATGTTGCTGGCCTGCAATATTATAGTTTATATCTATAATACCGGCTTTAATACAGCCATAGTTTTTTAAAAAAAATGTACTAGCGCAATTTTATTAATTTATACTCAGAATCTTATCTTTTTCAGAATGCGATCATACGTTGAATATTACGAGAAAATGCGTACAACAATAACACCACACAACTATCCCGTGACATTTTATTATAATGTTATACAATATTTTATCATCCTGTTTTTTTTTACCTAGGTCCTATATATATATCACGACAATTCATTTGTCATGCTATATAATAGTATGTTAGGTATTCAACGAGAACTGTCCACATGACACTCGATCCACACGCCTTTTCGATGTTAAAGATTAAAATGTATAGGTGCCATTTAAGAATATCCTGTATAAAGACTGCTGCTTGCGGTTTCGGTATTGTTATTATTACTTTTTTTCAAATGATTTTATATTACAATAATATAATAATTACATCCTGAGTGATGCGCAACAATAATAACGTTCCATCACAATATTATTATAAACAACCTAGTGCTATATTATATCGCTATAATATCACATTGCCGAACGTCACGTCACGCAGTCGCGCTCATAGATAATTATAGTTGGACAATATTGAGTATTCCATCCAAATAGGTATTATAATAATATAGTTGATGGACGAACGCCGACCGCAGGTGTACAAAGCCGGGATGACGACGCGAGCATTAATCGAATACTATGCTGTGCTCTGTGGATGTGTATAGTATATAATAGTGTAAATAAAACTATAATACTAACAATAGGCGCATATTTTCGATTGTTTTCACAAGACCGTATTAAAACAATGTCGTCCATGGTCCATTATTATATTGTATTTTTGAACGAGCCGACGATGATGATTGTGTTTTTATAATTTTTTATATACATATTTTTTTCGGGATTGAATGAGTACCTATGAGTACCTATTGACTATTGAGAGCCAATAACAACGTTCGTATTATTATAATTTATAATCATATCCCTTACGGATAAATAGTATTTGATAAAAACAAACACGATAATATACTTTGCATAACGTCTAAGTTATTTGTTGAAAATTCAAAATTCAATACAAAATTACAAACACGATATAAATATTTCAAGAATTAAGATTTATTTTTGCATACAACTAATGGACATATCAATCAATGTTACAGATAGTCATAAATAACTATGTACAAAGGTGGGGAAGTTAATGAAAATAATTAACTCAAGTTAAGTTAAGTTAAGAGGACACAAGATCGATAAGTTAAAAGTTAACAGTTAACAAATTATAAATTTAACTCGATAGGTAAGTTAAAATTTAATATAGAAAAAAAAATACTATCTTATTAACTCACTTTAAAAAAAGTTAATCTATTTTTTTAAATTAGTATCTATGTAATTCGCATAAAGAGTGAATGTGTCTTTCTAGTTTCTAATTTATAAATTAGAAAAAACAATTTTATTGAACTTTTATCATAATGTACACTGTAGGTATACCATTTTACTTTTACTTTACTATTATTTACTAATTTAAACTATACTCATCTCAAATTAATAATTCAACGAATATATTTTTTTATATAGTATAGGAATTGAATATCATAATACGTGAGGATGAGTACACGATACCTTCATATATATTAGGTACAAGTTATATAACATTAAAACATAACAGTTGTCAATTTGTAATTTAAAATTCTTAATTTTATTAAAAACATTTATAATTGCAACTCCCATTATATATAATTTACAACTTAATAAAATATATTAATATACACAAAATTATGTTATCAAGAAAGAGAACAGAAATGTTTGTGTTTTTATATTGGATTATTTTTATTTTATACTGATATAGTAATATATACGTATAAACAAACAATTTCAAAATGTTTTTAACTTGATGGGTTTTTTTAAAATCAACTGAGAAAAAGCTAAGTTATTTCAACTGTAAATTAAACTAGTTAAGTTGATTAGAAAATAAACTAACTAGTTCAGTCAAAAGTTAAAAAAAATTAACTTTTTAACTAGTTAATGCCCACCTTTGCCTATATAGAGTAGGTACATAATATTTCAAACAAGAATTTGTTGGTATTTTTTTTTAAGTATTACTTATTGGAAATTATGTTGATAGTTTCTCACAGCTCAAGGAATAACTTATACTAAGACCTACGAAGGATTTAAAGATAACAGCAAAAAAAATGTAATTTTGTCTATAGACATTAATAAATAAATAAATAAATAATCGACCTCAGTATTCAAAATTGTTTTTAATATGGTGATCAAGCGATTTGTACTACCTATAGTTTTTTTAAAGGTTTTTAAAAATGCGTATTTTAGGGAAACTTTTTTTTTTTAATGATGTTTGGTAAAGCACCTAAATTTTTTTCCCAAATTGTGTAGATCATGTGAATTCATGTCTATAATTAAATAATAATTTCAGTTTGAAGAAGTAAAAGAAAAACTAAGTTAATATTGTATAGGTACTGATTTGATCATATAAGAGACGACTACGAATTGGTACGTCATTGCAGGTACCTATAAGGTATGTTATGCATAACTAAAATGTATCAAGATTTTGGACTTATATACCTACTATCATTTTTCTGAGCCGGGATAAAAATAATCTTATTTTTTTTATTGGTCTTAGTACCCATCGGAAACTATGACCATGTGATAATATTATTAATGTATTATTTGACTGAAATATATATTTTGTTTATATTAAATATTTTATATGTGACTGAGAATTTCAGAATTTGTTTTCTATACAATGTTTTTAGGGAGTGTCCGAGTGTCTAAAAATATTTGAATAAAAATAAAAATAATTTAAGTACTAATACTTAGGTAGGTATACAATCTTTATAATATATTAGATTATTAAATGAAATATAATATATAGAGATTGTAATTTTTGACTGTAGAGAAAACAATTTTTTTTTGTAATAAGTAACAATACCTTATAGTACTTACTATGTCACATTTTTTTGGCCTGCCTAGTTGTTAGCATACCTTTCAAGAAGTTAGAATGACGCCCCTGGGTGGTGGTGATAGGTGCCTATTGCAGTCTGCAGGTGTCTGGGCGCCTTGGCCTCTTAAAAAAAAATATTCTAATATACACGCCACTACAGGCATTACGGAAGTACGGGCTACGGCGTATAATATAACGGCGAAAACGTAGTCGTTCGGAACAGGGTAGGTAGTCGGTGTGACAGGTACCTACGCATGCGTTACTATATTGTAATAACTTGTAGGTGAGTGAACAATAATAATGTAACAAT